CTTTACCAGAGCTTAAAGACTGTAGATGTTCACACCTGGTGTTAGAAAACCGAGCTCACAGCAGTATTTTTTTTTATAACAGGAAATTTAAATTTTTATTGGTTACCATGTTTATTACCACTTTTATCAGTAATGTACTTCCTATAAAATATGGATTTAATAAGTTACCGGTTTATTTAAATCAGCTAGTGAACACATCGATCACTTTATTGAACAACACGCCTTACACTCTTGTGAGCTCTGGTTACTAACAGCAGGTGTGAATGTTTGGAGTCCAAAACGCAGATAAAGATTAGAATAACAAGGCAATGTAAAATCAGTTTAATGCAGTTGACAGTAGCAGCTCAGATGGAAATCAGCCAATTGTGAGGAGAGCAGAGGACCAAAACTGTCAGAGTTGTGGGACAAGTGAAGAGAACACTGTTGGCATTATTGTTAGCATAAAAGATGGAAATTTAAATAAATGTTAAATTTTAAAATTGATCATATACACCTGTGTGTATATATATATATATATATATATATATATATATATATATATACACACACATATACATACATACATACATACACATTGAATACCAGTAAAAAAAAAATAAAGGATGCCCCAAAGACCATCACTTTTCAAAAATAATAATAATAAGTAATACAAATAATATGAAAGTTACTTACATGTCAAAGATGGTGCTTGTGATCTTGAAGAATCTAAACATGATAAGGAAATGAAAGAAAGTGCATGAGAAAATACAAACATTTTTGTTTTTTCCCAGGATAATTCAATATAAAAGATTCTCTTACTAATGCACAAAATGAACAGTGTAATTAAAAGTTTGAAAGGCACTGCATGTGTTTATATGATAAACTGACTAATTCAAGCAGCAAACACTAGCAGTGCAAAAATGTATCCAACTAGCTGACAGACTTTAAAGTCACAGGAAGATATATCAAAATGGTGACTTATGCCAGAACAAGTGACTTGACAGACATAAATCCTAAATTCCTTTAAGTAAAAAATTGGTGACATAGTAATAAGTGGTCCCTAGTGGTTTTCAAATTATCACATGGCTTGTTAATTTTTTATTAAATTATTAAGAAGCCAGATGAGTTCAAAACATTTACAAATTACACTATCCACTATACACTAAAGCACTATCCAAACTTCAAATCAAGTGGCAAAATCTCCAAATTAAAAGTACTTGCAAACTATAAAAATTTGATTATACTTAAAAATATGCAAAAACTAATTTAGTGGAATTTTTACCTGCTCAAGAATACATTAAACATGCACTATTTAATTGAAAAGAACAAAATTTGTGTACTTTTAGAAAGGATTATTAAATATTTGGGGATACAAGCCATAAAGAGGGTCTTGTACATTTACGGGCATCTAATTTCCTGGATTTAATGGTTTAAAAGTTTAATAGGTCTTTGAAGTTGATAATAAAATTGAGTCCATTATTAGCTAAAAGGATTTTAAAAAAAGAGCAAAAAAAAAAATGCTTAATATATAATAATTGTTTTAAACTTAAGCTTTGTAATTGTAATTCATGTTCTGCATTTTCCTACTTCACCATCTGATCTGAACAGCTGCACTCTCTTAATTAATTAATGACCTAACATTTCTCAGTAACCAATACCTAGATGGAACAGCACAGTATCTACGAGATCAGACAGTGTTTGAGCTAAAGAAGCTGTGTGTTTCTTTTGGGGGCTTTTTGCACACTGATCCACCACCGTTTTCCTATAGTACAATGCATATCTGGTAACATTACCGTAAACGTGACCAGTAGGTTCACGTTCAGATCAGAAAACCGTTTCAGCTGCAGGCATCTACTCCTGTAATTTAAACAATCACCTCATACGTCTCATGTTTTACACCCCTATAAGGTGAGCTTGCTACACTGCACATGAATATTATGTAACATGGTATGACTAGCTCATGTTCAGACATTTAAAATACTGTTCAGCCATCTTGTTTACTGGGTAGTGCATAATGGCCGAGTTAGCTGAGCGGGAATCCACTAAAGCCAAAAATAATATACATTTTTTAAATTAATTACAAAAACCTTATAGGAAAACCTAAGAAACAGTTGCAGAAGCACAGAAAAAAAACTGCCGTGTACGTTATAGTGTGTAAATTCAAAAACTGTATAGAGAGAATGGTGCAATGAAAACAGAATAAGATAAGATGAACTTTAGGGGCGATCGTGGCTCAAGAGTTGGGAGTTCGCCTTGTAATCGGAAGGTTGCCGGTTCGAGCCCCGGCTTGGACAGTCTCGGTCGTTGTGTCCTTGGGCAAGACACTTCACCCGTTGCCTACTGGTGGTGGTCAGAGGGCCCGGTGGCGCCAGTGTCCGGCAGCCTCGCCTCTGTCAGTGCGCCCCAGGGTGGCTGTAGCTACAATGTCGCTTGCCATCACCAGTGTGTGAATGTGTGTGTGAATGGGTGGATGACTGGATATGTAAAGTGCTTTGGGGTCCTTAGGGACTAGTAAAGCGCTATATAAATACAGGCCATTTACCATTTATTGAGTAGAATATAGGCAGCAAGAGCTTGCAAAGAGCTCCTTTGACTACGATGACCTGGATAACTGAGAACCTTCACAGACATAGGCAGTAAGAGTTTTGTAATTAACTTTAAATTATGTTTGCCAAAGACAATGCAGTAAATTAACCCAGTTCTACCTGCTAACTAAAGATGTTATGCTTCTCCCCCTTATACCGTTTAGGACGACTATAGAAAGTTACTAAAATAACCATTGATGAAAACGTATCAAACTTTAAGTATTTACCTTTGTCATAGTTTTCGATTCTTTGGTATCCTTTTGTCCTCCACGTTCTCAAACACCAGGGAGAGAAAAGGCCGCAACAGACGAAAGACCGCGAAGACTAGACGCTAGGCGGTGCAATCTGCTCCTCCCTCTTTTTAAACGAGCCAATAGGAGCTGCTCACGTTAAAAACAACTTTATTTAAAAAGTCGTTTTACACCTGATACAAAAATTTTAAAAGTCAAAGAATGCACAAGTTTAAAAGAACAATTTTGTTTTTAAAAGTTTAAGCATAGGGATGGTTAATATGTTTAAAAAATTAATATATAATATTTATCAAAAATTGTCACCCAAATCAACATCATAATAAAAATATAATTAATAAAAATATCATAATGATAAGAAGAAGAAAAACAGTTTACCTAAAAGCTCTTCTAACATTAGACTGCTTTTGAAAAGTTTCAATAGTGTCAATACACCATAGGGACAAGGGAGTTACACAGTTGAAGTGTGACTGCTTGAAAGACCCCATTCCCTCTCCTTTCCACTAGTTCAAAGATAATATAAATTATTTCTGGTTATATAATTTGAGGGCACAAGTTTGAAGAGTAACATTTTAACAGATCGGTAATATACTTCGGGAGCTTTACTGGATCTGATTAACCAATACTTCCATCCTCCATGTAGCTAACTGTCTTTTCTCTAATACAGGAGAGTGTATCTGATCTACTAAAAATCCTCAACTGCATGTTTGCTCAAGTAAATAGTCTTAATTGTTTGAACAACCAGTAATCCTTAATTTGCAAATGCCAAATCTGGACCGAACTCACTGCAGGTTCACGCCCTCGGCTCACGCCCCTCTGAAGAGGAAACACCTGGGCCTCATTAGTGCAGTCGGCATTTAAGCCAGGGGAGTGACTTCTACTCATCGCTGGATCGTTATGTGTGACTTGTATCCCCTGGACCCGACCTTGTGTTCCCTGAGTGGATTCCTATTTTTGTGAGTGTTTGGAGAGAGACTGATCGCGAGTGGAGACTGTCTGAAGAGGAGCAAGTGTCTTTTCCCCTACCTGGATTCCCCCGGAGCCTTTTTCACTGTCACTGCTTTGTATATAGCACCACCCCTGTACTATTTGTATATACACCTGGTGGAACTGTAATAAATACCAACTGTGTGCCTCTAACCTTCTGAGTCCCGTGTGTGAGTCTTCAAGAGAACCGTGACAGACAAAGATGGAGATAAAGATACAGGATTAATTCATCATGTAAAAGAAATACATATTTAAGATACAAAGAGCAAAACATCTGCATTAAGCATTAGGGAGTACTTTAAATTGATGGAGTCAAGTGACAGTTTGGATTTATTTGTGGAAGAGAGGAAATGAAAGGGCTGTTGAAAATCTTTGAGCACTTAAGCCTGACATGGTGAAGCTCTAAACGGGGCAACCCTAATGTGTCTGAATAAATGGTGAGTCATTTAGCATAAATACCACGAGTGATGATCATTTTAATAATGAATAGATGATTTTTTTTACTCAATGTGTATTTTTAATTCTGTCTCTGTGCTTTTTGTTCTTAAGGCCTTTAGTGAGCTGTCCATGGTGCTGAACAAGCATAAATCACTATTTAACTACTTGGAATTTTCCTTTGGATTTTATCCTTGCTCATCCAGTCACTTTTAATTCCAAAACACAATAAAGTGTTACTTTTGTTAGTTTGAGGAAAGGGTAGGACTGAACTATTAAAATGAACTCCCCGATCCTCCACTGCCTGAACAGCATCTTTCCTCCCTGTTTTCTATCTTTGTCTCTCTGTGAGTGTGGCATTTGTGGTGTGTGTGATGTGTGTCGGTGGGGTTTGGCAGTTCTGCTGGTTCCTGCTCCTCCTCGGCTGGAGCACCTGCAGTAACTGATAATCAGTCCAGCACATCAGTTTGGAGGAATTTGACTCCATTTTTGACACAGAGCAGCTTTAATTCTGACATGTTGGATTTTCTCACATGAACTTCCAGCTCTTTCACACCATTTCTGTTGGACTCTGTTGGACTTGGTTGTTCCAAAGCTCTATTTTTAACAGCAGGCATGGACGCTGTGTGTTCCTACGAGGCTGCTGGAGCTGATTGAGGCCTCTCAGTACAACACTGATGATTCCAGCAGACATGCCACAGCACATTTCAGAAGCATCCTTGAAGCATCTCTTTGCTCTGCACCACTAAAAATAACTCTGGATCTGTTTTTTACAGAAGCTCCATCAAGCTGCAGAAAACAGAGGAAAATGTGCAGGACAGAAGAAACAGCAAAGGAAATCCTGTCAGTGTTGAAAATAGAAGAGCCTGTGCAGACCAACATGTTTCTCTTCTAAAATACACCAGGTGTGGTTTGAAGGACGCAACAAAACCACATCAGAAAGACATCAGAGACTCATCACATCACTCGCTGGATTCACTGGATTCTTTTTCTTTCACCATTATTTGGAACAAAGAAAACAAACGTGACTGGTTTGTGTCATTGTGGTGCTGCATGGCCCACTTTCTCCTGAGATTCAGTTCACAGACAGATGTTCTGATAGTTTTCTTTACAATTTGCTGCTAGAATTCAAAATTGATTGTGTGATTAATGATGGTGAGCCAGATGGGCCAAACCATGATCCTATCAGCAGCATGTTTCATTGTAGTGGTGCATCATTGATGGGATAAATGGACTGGTGCTTATATAGTGATTTTCTATTTTCATGTGGACTAAAGTAGTGGACTGACCAACAGACTGACATTAACATCAGAGCCGTGCTGCTAGTGTGGCTAAAAGAAAAGAGAAGAAGAGACAGTCATGTTGATATGAACATTAGAGAAACACATCATGGAGCTGAAATATGATCCTGCTTCCTCATTTGGACTCATTCACCTCAGCTGACACGTTCAACAGCAGACAGGTTTTTGTAGCAGTCTGTCTCACTGTGAGAGGATACTACTACTTCATCTTTGGCTCTGGAACTAAACTGTCTGTAACAGGTAAGAACAAACATTTATTTTCCTTCAGTTGTTTTATTGTAGAAGCTGAAAATGTGTTTAAAGTCAGTTTGTGCTGCTTCAGGCTTTACATGTTAGTTTTTCATCATTAGTAGAGAATTCATCTGCAGCCATTGTTACATAAGAAAAGCTCAATAATCTCTGAAAACATGTTGAAATCTCACTGAACAACTAAAGTTATTCTTTATTTCTGCAAATATTAGTGATGTTACAAATATTTAGGATTTGATCCTCTCAGTGATTCTGCTGGTTTTCAACACAAGATCATATTTGATGTTAAAATTAAATTAATATAGATTAACAACAAATATGGTTTCAGGAAATATTTGCTTTATGTTGAGGAACAAATATTTTTTAATAGTCAAACATTCATGTAGCTGCTTCAAAAAGGTAAATAGAATAATAAAAACAGATACTGATTAGAAAACTCAGAAATGATATGACAGATAAATTTAGGATGAATTTGACATCGTTAAACTCTGGTATTTATTTCTGAGATGAAGTCGTGTGTGTGGATTTGTACGTGACAATAAAAAGTTAATAATACTTAAATTTCCAAAATACTTTAACATACAAATTTTTATTAAATATACTTTGTCAAATAATTTGTATTTTATGACTAAAAATATCATGAAGTATATCTCATATTATTGAAAACGTTTTATTCAAAATTTCAGTTTTAGTGTTTTAAAATAGTTGCTACAGTTTTTTATTTGAATAAAAACATAAATTAAAATAATCACTGCGTTACTTTTCCAATTTTTACAGAAAAATATTTAAGAATAAATTAGTCTGAAAGACAAATATGGTCTTTATGGTAAAATATATCAAAGACAAGAAGAATGGAAATTTTATCTGCTGAACTGAATTTTGTGAAATGATATTTAATTTTATTAATAGTACAAAACAATATGAAAGAATATGAATTTATTTTTGGACAGAAGAGGATCTCTGTTAGAACTCGTGTCTAAGGACTAATAAGAAAAATACATTTTCACTTGTATAAAGACAAATATAAATATTTTAAAGTTGGACTGAACTAAATTTCTATAAAACAATAAAAAGCAAACACATGACGAATTAAACTGAAATGAAATTGATTATAAAAATCATGCTGCGTGTTCCTCATGTGAGCCATGATGACATGAGGTGATGACTGTGTTTGATATGAAGCTGAATCCAGTGTATGTAGTGAACTTTGTGCTGATGAGTAGTTTAGTGATCAGAGTCCATGTAGTTTCCAGGATCAGACTGAATGCAGTGCAGTGCTGGAAGCTGCTGCTGACTGTGTGAATGTGTGTCTGTGCTGCTTGTTGCTTCAACAATATTTCAGCGCCACATAGACTCCACGTCGATGGGGACAGCTCCGTGCTGTGTGTGCCCCCGTTCATGTTTCCATCTTTGGTTCAGCTGACTTGTAATACACAGAAGAAAGATGATCCGGAGGAGCTGCCCACAGACGTTGGAAAGCAGCTGGAGCTGATCCATGAAGAAGAGAGCAGCACATATACATGCAAATGCTACATCAAAAATGTCAGCAACAACACAGTGGAGGCCCGAACACAACAAGGTAATGAAGGCTTGCTGACTGTGTTCAGCAGTGATTCAGCTTCATGTGGAGATGCTGTCAAAGAGAGCAGAGCAGCAGAGGACTGACATTTCTCACTGCAGCTCCAAACATTTGACTCCTTTTCTGTTTCAGAGCTTCCAGCTCCAGCAGCCTCCTGTCCTCCAGAGAGAGAGCCAGCAGACCTGCCAGCTCTGCAGCCAGCTGACTGTAAGATCACCTGCTGCCTCTCTGCATGGACAGCTCCAATGTCCAATGAGGCAGCTGGAACAAGTTTAGGCTCTTAAAGTTGCACTAATTGATCAAATCTTCATCCAACAAGCTCTGATAAAGCCACTGTACACTAGCTGCTCAGCACCAAACAGCAGACAGACCATAATATGTCAGAGATCAGTTTGTTAGCTGCTTGTGGAGTTCTTCTGCCCCCAAGTGGACACAAACACTACATCAATTCATCCACTTGAAGAAGAAGCTGTGACTGTTTCTATTTGGACTTTTTCTCCTTGATCTGAGAGGAATAACCCGACTGTCTGTCTGTCTCTTTGTGTCTGTCTGTCCTTCAGTGTCCTTCCAGTCTCAGTGCAGGGTGAAGCTGCTCTGCCTGCTGTACACAGTGCTGATAGTGAAGAGTCTGGTGTACTGCTGTGGACTCTCTCTGCTGATGATGCTCACAAACAAGGGAGCGTCCACCAACTGCACACATGCTGACTGACTGTTTCCTGCTCGCCTTTTCTCACCATCACATCTCATCAATTCATCTCATTCATCACTTTGATCACAAATGTTAGTTATGATGTGTTGTGCTTATTTTGCCTTTTTCTTCAACAGTTAGAAGATCGTCTGAAATAAATACATCTTTACATGTATTGTTGCTCTGAGTTAGAATTCTTTTTGTGCTTATTGTGACTTTTATTGTAGTAACAAAAACCATCAGGAATATTTTTATCACAAGTTTTCACTTTGATTTTCAAATGTCAAACAGTGTAGTTGTGTTTGTGTGAACAATAAAGATTTGAAGATGAAGAGTTTGATTCTACTTTCATTGTGTGATCAACAACAACCCGTGTGAGTGAAGCACAAACTGACTGTATCCAAACTTGCTCTCCTGCAGCAGACGGGCTGTGTGGGTTTCTGCTCTGCAGCCTCCACACCGTTAGCTGTGGCTTTCACTTTAATAACACAATGACAGTTACAAGCAGGAACTCTGCTTCAAGAATGATTCCAGGAAGGATCTGTGTTCTTCACCTGTGAGAGAAACAGCTCAAATCCTCAACTCACAGCTGACAAATGAACTTTAATGGAATCAAAGGAGAGACCATGAAGCCCCTGCAGTCTGCTCAGCTCCCATTTTATTACCTGAGCTGAGTTTTTCATTCTGGATATCACACACGTAAGAACAGATCAAGTCTGAACAGCAAATGTTGGAGAATCATTTTGAAGTCTTGCTAAATGTCGTTATTATTACAAAAACTACTGAATGATTCAGAAAATCCTTTCCAACAAGCAGAAATATGCAAACAAAGTAGAAACAAGGCAACATGAGTCATTCAGATGCAGATAACATATTCTCCTTATTGTGAAGAACACAGTCATGAAATCTGTGTGTCATTCATTGAGTTGAAGTGCCTAATAGAAGAGGAAGAGCAGCAATAATCAATGATAGCTGAGACATTGAGAACATGGCTGTATGCCTGCTATCATAACAGCAAACAAAGCACACAAACAGCAAACACACAATAATGTGCTCGCAGCTTGTTGTGTGTTGTGTCATTTTTGACATTTCATGAAGTCACAAAAATGTGTGCGACTCATTAAAGGAGTGTGTACGTGTCAGTCAGTGCTCTGTATTCATGTGTTCACTCAGACACTTTTCTCCTCCAAACTTACAGCACAGCTTCATATTTCACTGACTGATTCTTTCATTACATCCATTAAGGGTCACACAGTGAAATTAGTGCAAACTTACAAATGTGTTGCAACAATTTTGGCCTCCAAACTGAACTTTGAGACAAACAGTGAAGCTGTGAGCAAAAAGAGGCTCCAGTGTGTGTCATGGTGGAGGAAACTGTTGTATTCCCACATTCAAAACATGCTGATCTTATTGGATTTGTCCCTCAAAGTCTTTTTCCTCCTTTTTCTCTTCATCCAAATGTTCTAGCAGGCTGACTGTGAGTCCCTGTTGAACCTGTACAGCAGAAAGTAACAGCAGTCAGCGGCCTCCACTTGACTTCATGACTTCAACGCCTCGCACAGTCACTTTCACTTTCTTCCTTCTGTCTTTTAGTCCTAAAATGTAGAACAACACCAGATCCAAATATTTGTGTCCTTCACTCACATCTTCAAATGATCCCTTCCATATCAGAGATGATACAAAGGCAACATTTGTCTTATTTCTCTTTCAGGAATCAAAAAGTACTTTTGTACTGTTGTGTAAATGTGTGTGTAAAGGTGGATGACTGCCTGCTGCAGATGAAATCTAACCATGGCTACAAATAAATGAAGCTGACGTGAAACACAGCCCTGTTTTATTACTGTTTATAGATATTAGAATTGATGATCATCATTTTAATGATTCTTAAAAAGGCTTTAATGAATCCTTCAGTCTGAAACCAACTTGGAACAAAACACATTAGAAGATGTGGGAAAGAACCACAGTGTGCACATATTTAAACACACAACAGAACCACAGTGTGCACATATTTAAACACACAACAGAACCACAGTGTGCACATATTTAAACACACAACAGAACCACAGTGTGCACATATTTAAACACACAACAGAACCACATGTGTTTGTTTCAAATAACATTTTTACTCTAAATGTTGTTAAATATGATTTTGTTTTTAACTACTTTGAGTGCAATTTATGAACTTTTAAAATATTTAACCATATTATTTATTTTTAGATTTTTCTATTTATTTGTAGTTTCGTTATATTTAGTGTTTTCATCACAGCTGTTCAACAACAGATAACAGTGTGTGTTAGTAAATTCACAGCAACATGAATGTTTCTGAGTGTTTGTGCATCATGTGACCCAGATTTTTGGATCTGCTGTCAGATTGAAATGAAGACGATGAAACCACAGCAGCTTCAGCTGAGCTGTCAATCAGCAGCAGCAGTCTTATCTGTGGGCCGCAGGGGCTGATGGGAGCTTTGAGGACCTGTTAGAAACCACGTGGCCCTCGTCTGATCTCACAGCTCGTCCTTGTTTGGCCTCAGCTGCATCAGAGCGCCACTTCTCCCCAGGTTCACCAGAGGAAACACCACTGCACAAAATGCTTTTCCTCCCAGCTGCTGCTCTGTGCTGTCTGTGTTCAGGTGAGTGTTTCCAGCCAATCAGGAGCCAACAAACTCAACCTGTAACAAACACTGTCACACTAACCTTCATCTATCTGTCTGTGTCTCTACAGCACTGGTTACCATGGCAGCAGAACAGCTGATTCAAGATGGTTCAGCATTGACCAGGACAGTTGGAGAAAGTGTCTGCTTCAGCTGCAGAGTGATTAATCAGTGTTCCACTGACTGGGTACACTGGTACCAAAAGAAAGAAACATTCAGAAAGATTCTTGAAATTAATAAAAATACTAAGAAATTGGCTTTAAATACAAATCATCCTCAGAAAAACGATTTCTCACCTGAAAATAATCAGAAAGACTGTGAGTTGAGCATAGAAAAAGTTAAACGTGATCATTCAGCCACCTACTACTGTTACTGTTGGTCCCCACAGTGAGAAATGATCCCTGCAGCCTGAACAAAAACCAACAGATGAACAGATGTCAAACAGTGTCTGTGACAGGAAGAGAGCAGTAAACCACAGCCCAGCTTCACATGTTTCACCTCCATCTCAGAGTCACAAACATACTGAGCTCAGGGACCATTTTTATTTACTGCTGTCAGAAATTCAGTTTCCCTCAGCTTCATCTTCATTAGATCAGCATGTCCAAAAGAATAATGGAAAACTTTTCCACCTCAACTTTTGTAATTTAATTCTGAAAAGAAACCACAGCTGAGGGTGACAGTTTTTCACGATGAATGAAGTCCGTCTCTTGTTTCTTATTTTGTTTCTTATTCTAAAACTGTAAACTTTTATTTCATCAACTTTCATCATCTTTGTCTTTAAGTACATCCACAGATCAGCTCCTCAGCTTTTGAGCCACAAACTTCACTGCTTTCTTCACAGGCCTGAGAAAAGTGTCTGTCTTGCATTAAAGACTGTAGAACACTAGAGCCAATCAAATGTCAAGAATTGTCTGAATTATTTAACTGGGATGAAGAATCACCAAAAAAAAGAGTAAAGGAGGGAATGAGGTTCAGTCAAGCCACTGACGAGCAGCTGAAAGGGAGGCTCTGAAAACAGTTGACTGACTTCATTATTAACTCTAACTTTCTACTTCTAAATTCAGATAAAACTGAGGTTATTGTACTTGGCCCTGAAAATCTTAGAAATATGGTAATGTGGTAGATTTTTTTATGATATGTATAACTATGTAACTATATATCTGTGTGCACTGAATATATATATCGTTAGCTTCATAGCATAAGTGCCTAAGTCATTGACTTAGTCAAATGACTTAGGCAATTATGCTATGAAGCTAACGATATTTTAACTTTCATGTAGAGTCTTAAGCACAAGACATTTTGCTTCACCACGGTTTATTAAGGTGGTACAGTAACAGGGCAGTCAATGTGACGTCTCACTTCTTCCGAGGTGCTAAGCTTCTCAGATGAGAGGTGAAACGTCTTCAAGCAACTTAAAGAAGTCCAGACGCTTTTCTTTCCAAGCTCCTTAGACTACGATGACCTGGATGACTGAGAACCTTCACAGACACCGTGTCATGACCTGTTGTGATAAGCCAAAGCCAAAGGGTAGCCGGAGTCCTGACTGGCCTCTGGCCAAGGCCTTGGCCGCTACCTGACCCCTGCAGCTGTGTTTTGCTGGAGGGCGGGTGGGAAAGTTACCCAGCAGCAGGGGGCGGGGATACTGGTCCCTATATATTAGGGGACCAGAGGACACCCCAGCACTTTTTTCCCCTCTGCTGTTTCTCTCTGTCCGTCTCTGTGTTGCTCTACTGTCTGGGCTTAAGGCTGTACACCCCGGGGTTTTGCTTTGCTTGCTTTCTGCTTTGTAATTTTCTTGCTAAATGTCTGTATGTATTTTTCCTGCTGTTCATATGATTCAGTGTATTAAACTCTGTTCCAAGAATTCTGCTCTTTTCCAGAGAATCTTTTTGAGTGTCTTGATTTTAATTGGATCTAAAAGGGTTGGATCTCCACATCGTTGGTGGGAGAAGGTTATCTGGATGTCTTCCACAGTATCTAACCAGATTCTTACTCTGGATGGCATTACCTTGGCCTCCAGTAACGCTGTGAGAAACCTTGGAGTCATTTTTGACCAGGACATGTCCTTCAACGCACATATTAAGCAAATATGTAAGACTGCTTTCTTCCATTTGTGCAACATCTCTAAAGTTAGAAATATCCTGTCTCTGAGTGACACTGAAAAACTAGTTCATGCATTTATTACTTCCAGGCTGGACGACTGTAATTCATTATTATCAGGATGTCCTAAAAACTCATTGAAAAGCCTTCAGCTAATCCAAAATGCTGCAGCAAGAGTCCTGACAGGGACTAGAAAGAGAGAGCAGATTTCTCCTGTTTTGGCTTCCTGTTAAATCCAGAATTGAATTCAAAATCCTGCTCCTCACATACAAGGTCTTAAATAATCAGGCCCCATCTTATCTTAATGACCTTGTAGTACCATATCACCCTATCAGAGCACTTCGCTCTCGCTCTGCAGGCCTACTTGTTGTTCCTAGAGTATTTAAAAGTAGAATGGGAGGCAGAGCCTTCAGTTTTCAGGCCCCTCTTCTGTGGAACCAGCTTCCAGTTTGGATTCGGGAGACAGACACTATCTCTACTTTCAAGATTAGGCTTCAAACTTTCCTTTTTGCTAAAGCATATAGTTAGGGCTGGACCAGGAGACCCTGAATCCTCCCTTAGTTATGCTGCAATAGACGTAGGCTGC